GACGGACGCTGGTAGCTGCTGGGCAAGTGCGTGCATGCGGCGGGACTCCTTCTCCTACGCGGACTGGGCGTGCGCGAACTCCTTGTGCGCAGGCGATGCGCGATCGGCGACAGGGATGCTGGGTGCGAGTCACGATGGCGCGGGGTTGCATGAATGGACGTCGGCCTTCGTGCGATGGTCCTGGGCGTCGCTGTTGGGAGCTGAACGGGCCTGGCTGGACGCGGTCGCGGGCGGTTGCTCACAGTTGCGATCGGCCGGGCGTGGACGGCTTCCGGCGGCGATGGGATTTTCCGGCGGTGGTCGACAGTGGCGGACGGCAGAGATTTGGACGGCGATGATGACCGAATATATATCTATTAGAAAGCTCAATCAATTGTACCAAAAAGCCTTCTAATGGATTACCTAAACACCTATTCCGATTAAACTTGGTGGAGCGTTTAATCGGATCTCCCTAACTCTCGAATGAAGTAATTCCCTTGTGTATGTAGTAGGGAAAAATCGGCCAAGAGGTATCAGAGCACATTTTTGCGTCTCTGAAAAGTTTTTACAAGTCAGAAATTTTGCAAAAACCTGAACCGTCACGCTCACGCCTCGCCGACTACAGGTAAGTGCTGATTTATGTTTTCAGATTATAAACAAATTACTATGTCTATGCTCAGAAATATCTCAGTTATGACTTAGTTAAGATGCTCGAATCACGTTCAGGATCAGTAGTCAGTATACTCAGGATTTAATGTCAGTATTTCCCAGTCATCTTTAGCGACTCGTCAAGAAATTTGTGCGCTTTACTGATCAACTTCCAAATGTTATCAGTAAAGATGTTCGAATCAGAATTCAGAACCTTAGAAAGGGGCTGAATTTGAGAACTCTAGATTAAATTCTAGATTTATTCAGGTCAAGTTCACGACTCGTCAAGAGATTTGTAAGCACTTAGGTTGTACAAATCTTAACAATCATGTTCCTCAGATATTTTCTATCGAAAATTTCCATTTTGCCAACCAGTTGGCACATTCCAATGAGGAATTCCTTGAGTTAGATCAGGAAGTAGACAAAAATTTCCTAAGTCAGATCAGTAAATCAAGTTCAGCAAAATTTTCAGGCTAAAGGTTGTTATAATTCTCAAGTCATTGTTAAGGTAACGGTTTCCAGTGTATAAGAGTCAATAGTCTGGGTTACCATGGAGGCTTAAAATAAGAGCCACTCAGCAGGGTATACCATGGAGGCTTGAAGCTGGGACCGGAGCAGTATGATTTCATGTAATCACAACCTTTAATGTAAGTTATGTCATGAATCTTATCAGTCAGGATACTTCAAGTTAAGATTTTCAAAGATCAAGATCAGCTAATTCCTTTGTACTTGCGGGACCACTTGATACTGGAACAGCCCTATATAGTACATAGTCATGAGTCAGTGTTCAAGATTTAAAGTTAATGTTCATGATTTTAAGGTCGACGTATAATAGTTGTTCAGCCGGGAAAAGTTGTATGCAAAATTCTCCAAATGCGAGTTCTGGCTCCAGCGAGTATCCTTTCTGGGTCATGTGATTACTCAGGCAGGTATCGAGGTGGATCCTTCTAAGGTCTCAGCCGTTCAGAACTGGTCGACACCGAGGAGTCCGTTCGAGGTTTGCAGTTTTCTCGGGTTAGCTTGTTACTATCGCAGGTTCATCGAGGGCTTTTCCAAGATCGCGCTCCCTCTATCCCAGCTGACGAGGAGTCTGTGAAGTTCGAGTGGACTGATCGTTGTGAGGCGATATTTCAGGAGCTCAAGAGGAGGTTAACTTCAGCACCGGTGTTGACTATTCCCGATCCTTCTCGAAGTTTTACTATCTTCAGCGATGCTTCGAGACAGGGCTTGGGATGTGTCCTTATGCAGGACGGCCAGGTCGTCGCGTATGCTTCATGTCAGCTTAAGCCTCATGAGCAGAACTATCTGACGCACGACTTGGAGTTAGCAGCAGTCGTTCATGCTCTTAAGATTTGGCGACATTATCTTTATGGCGGACGTTGCGAGATTTTCACAGATCATAAGAGCCTGCAGTACATCTTCACTCAGAAGGAGCTTAATATGAGGCAACGCCGTTGGCTCGAACTTGTTAAGGATTACGACTGCTCTATTCAGTATCATCCGGGAAAGGCGAACGTCGTCGCGGATGCCCTTAGCCGAAAGGTGAAGGGTGACCTAACGTACGTCATTACGCAGCAGAGTCCGTTGATTCAGGAGTTTTCCCGGATGCAGCTTCAGGCGATCGATGCACTTCCCATAGCCGTTTCGGGGAGTACTAGTGCCAGCGTCAGTGCTATGCAGCTTTAGCCAACGCTGAGAGAGAGAATCCGGCGAGAGCAGGCTTCTGACGAGTT